TTATTAAAGGTAAAAAAAAAAATTGAAATTTATTAGATAATTATTAATTAAAAAATGTGACCACAAATTAAAAAATTAAAATTGATAAATTTGTAAATAAAATTAAAAAATTTTAATGTGTTTGCGGTTTGATACAAAAAGATACATAAACTAACTTTTTCAATCCGTTAGCAGTTTAGACTCTAACCGCTATCCGCTAATCTCAAATCGTTAAATAAAAATTTTACCAAACACTTTATTTATAGCGGTTTTAAAATATATAAATTTATCAAACACCTATATTTAGCGGTTTAGGTAAAACCGTTAACCGATACCCCAAAGCCGCTATACCAAACGGGGTCATAATATCACAAGATTTAACAAAGTAAAAAAGCTAATTATTAAATAATATAAAATTCACATTTTAATATTTTAAATGTAATGACTTATACTATATTATTAGTCTCAAATTTTAATCTTATTTATCATTATTCTAAACTTTATTCTAATAAGATATTTCCAAGCTTACTCATATTGTGTTATTTAGACTAAAAGGACCCCTCATTTGGTTTGTCAAATTTCATAACGTTAAATATTACTACCTTGGATCCGTTCAACTTTAGTTATTTTACTTTTAACTTTTTAATTATGAAAATTTAACATGGTATATAAATAACAACTGACTTATTTTTTATTAAATAAAAGTACTTAATAAAAATTATATAAAGAGAAAATAAAATTTTAATTATCATTTATAAAGTTTATTAAATTCTTATATTAAATTAATGTTTTGAAAAATCAAAAAGTTAAAATAACGCAAATAAAATAATACCTATGGAATATTAAGAATAGCATGGACAAGTCTGCTGAGAGACATTTCAAAGATAAATCTCTACATTAAAAGTTTTTTAATTTAAATTTTAAAATGAGTGAAAAAAATTATATTATATCTCATATGATAGAGTAAGTATATATATCATTAGAGGAATAACATAGACAAAGCCTTTTTTTTTTTGTTTCTATAAATGATAATGATCGATACACATTTTAATTCAACATACTGCATGACAAACTCATTAAAAAATTATTATTTTTTAGTCTAAAATTAAAGACAAACAAGCTTAATGATATAATTATATACACATGATACATGAATCGATTGAATTGACTGTATTTATATTATATTTTTAATGATTAAACTGAAAGTGTGTCAAAAAATATGTTGAATCGATGATGTACCAATCATTTTCCTTCTATAAAAATATGACGTGTATTGTACTAATAGTATTGTCTATTTTTTTCAGATACTTGGGACAATTTTAGTTGTAAATGCTGAATTCTTTTTATCCAGAAAAATATATTTACGTAAGAAAAGATGAGAATTTACCTGAATTTCCAGATGAACGGTGGAGTAAGCATAAGCAGAGGCTATATCCCCAATGGCTTGGAACGTTCTCCACACTTTGTCAGATCCTGAGACGTCCACTCCCGCTGTTACTCCCGTTAATGATGTCCTTGCATGGTGTCCTCTACCTTCAATTTCATTACAAACCTCTTAAAAAGAAAAACGATTTTTTTTTTTTTTGAATTATAAAATTTTAAAAAAATTAAAACAAAAAATCACAGCAGGACCAAGTCTAAAAGAAAATGTACAAATTTAAAAAATTTTAGGTTTTATTTTAACAGTGTTGGCCTGGTTAGTAAAAAGATCTAAAACATATGGAAAATGATTGTTACACTTTCTAGTTCAACATCCTTTACAACACTTTTCGGTTTAATAATTAAAAATATAATATAAATATAATCAATTCAGTCAGTTCTTATATCTTGTGTACTTGATTGTATCATTAAACTTATCTATTTTTAATTTCAAATTAAAAAATAATAATTTTTTAATTACTAAACTGAAAGATATTATTAAGAGTGTTGAATTAGAAAGTGTACCAATCACTGTCCAAAATATATTGTTAAATTTCTATTCTTGTTTGGCCAACAAAAATATCACTCTTCAATTTCCACTGGAGAGAGGTTGTAGTACTACTGAGCATAAAAATCTCACTTTGAAAATATAATAAAAAAATAAATTAATTAAATATAAAAAATATTGTTTTATTTATTATTAATTGATTTTAATTAAGTTGGATGCAAATATTATATTAAAACTTATATGTCAAATTAAACTTTTAAATGAATTTATTAGAAAAAAATTATAGTTGCCCAATAAAAAATAATTCCCAATACCTAGCTTTTAATTTACTTCGTCCAAATGACTTAGCTTAGATCTCTTACTTTCATGGGAATTGAAGGAAAAATTATACTGAGTGATTTAAAATTTTGGCAACCCGTAGTGTGAATTGTTCGTGTTTGTTCGGACTCTGAGTATAAAACGAAATTAAAATATATACTTATATAACTGCTATAAATAAGAGATGGTTTTTTTTCTTTTCCTAACAAGAAAAATTTGTGGGGAGAGAGGATTTGAAACCCAAATTTGGGGCTATATAGGAAAAGTGTTCTTTTCCAATTAACCGGATACGCCAGGAGCATTTTGTTTTTTAAGTTACCCGCAACTTTGGCAATGGAGAGACCGAGTCCAGTGGACGTAGAAGCTAAGCACATGATGGCGGAGAGGATTGACAGCCCTGGGAGCTTGTGGAAAATGGGGATTTGACTCAAAAGGATCTGAATACATGCAAAGATTATCATGAAAGGGTTGCTGGAAGCGTGGTGACCATGGTGGAGGAAGCAGCTTGATCTTTTGACCGCCCTGTCCATAATTTTTTTTAAAAAAAAAAGAAACAAAAAATAACAAGTTATAAGAAATCATTTCGAAGAAAAATTCAATTGATTAGTCAAGAAGTGTGGAACTTTCTTACATCATATTAATTGATGCAGTTACGGTGTGATCTATGGTTATGCCCACCAAGTTCAAGAATTGAGCCAATCCACAGACGTAGGCGTCCCTTCCTCCTTTAGAAAAAACAAAATAATAATAATAATAATAACTATTTTTTTATTAAAACTTTGAATTATAAAAAAGAAAATTCAAGTTTAAGTATTGAGCCAATCCACACAGTTAGGGTTCCTTTTCCTCCTCCGATCGCAAAAATAAAATAAATAATAAATAATAAATAAATAAATAACTATTTTTATTAAAAAATTGAATTATAAAAATAAAAATTAAAAGACTATTTTCACCCAATAATAATAATAATAATAAACAACTTGAATACTTAAGTGAACTCCATCAAGCGGGTTGTTCACCAGATCTAAAGATCGAATCTCCAGTTACTAACATACTAACCATCGTCCTTATAAAAAAAAAAAAAAAAAAAAAACTTGAATACGTAAGTGGGCTGCGATGGCATGCATGTAAGTATAGTTTCTTTCTCTGGTGACGGGGTCAGGAGACTCGTAGCAGTCCGCCAGAAGAGTGGAGATGAAGTAGGTGATGAAGGAGAAAGCCATGAGAACGCCGAAACCAGCTATCCAGCCCAGCTGAGCCATGTCCCATGCCAGAGACAGCAAACCGGAACCAATATTCATGGCTACGATGATATGAGCACTTGCGGTTACCCAAGTCCCTCAACAATTAATCAAAAACAGACCCAATTAACATCAAAACAAATACTAATAGAACGTCTTAATTGTCCCAAATACCAATTAAAGCCTTATTAGGCTGGTCAGATTATTCATTTTCAAATCTCTGCAATAGCTAAACATCTAAATGATGTACCTGTTCTTTTGGGATGACCATCGTCGTCACGGTTCATTCGAACACCACCATTATTGAAAGATTCGGAGTCTTGTTCTACATACATGGAGCCTTTGTGCAATTCTGCAGTCATGTTTTTCTTTTTTACCTGTTTACCTCTTTCTCTGGCACTGGAGAGTGGGAGAAAAGGAGAGTATATATAGAGAGAGAGGAGAAAAGGAGAAGCAGATCGGTTCAAAGAAAATGGTGCAGCAAGCAGGTCACTGTTCACGTATATAAGATGGCGCAAATTGGCATTCTTGAATCATGGTGAGGTTTGGTCTCTGATGCCTTTTTTTTCTTTGTGGGCCTTTGCATCGGCACTCATATTCTAAGCTTATAAAAGAAAAAAAAAATAGAGTAAATAAATAGAGAGGCTAATTGGAACAACTATTTTTATGCTTCTCCGCCTGGACTGAATGCCCTTTTAGAAAGGGGCATGTTAGGTGTTGCATTTTTGTCACGTGGATTAGTTAAATTTGACTTCTTATGTAACAAAAAAGTTGAAAAAAATGGGACCAAGAGATAACGTAAGGGCAAACAGGTCAGTTCACATAAAATGGCGCAAATTGGCATTCTTGAAGCAAGTTGGGGTCTGGTCTCTATAAATATAGAGATTTAGAATTATTTATCCAATATGTTTAGTCGACTTATTTATTGACTTATTATTTATGTTTATATAATTGAAATTTTACATATATTTATTATATTTAATATTTATATAA